AAAGAGAAAGAAAGAGGAAGGAAAGAAGGAAGGAGAAAGAAGAAATAAAAAGAAGGACAAAATGAAAGAAGAAGAAAGAGAGAAAAAAAGGAGGGAGAGAGAAAGAAAGGAAGAAAGAAAGAAAGGGGAAGGAAAGAAGGAAGGAAGGAGAAAGAAGAAAGAAAAAGAAACAGACAGAAAAGAGAAGGAAGGAAAGAAAGAGAAAAAAAGGAGGGGGAGAGAGAAAAAGAGAAAGAAAGAGGAAGGATAACAGATAATCAGAGTTGGAAGGGACCTTGTAGGTCATCTAGTCCAACCCCACTGCCCAAGCAGGAGACCCTACACCATTTCTGACAGATGGCAGTCCAATCACTTCTTGAAAGTCTCAAGGGATGGCGCTCCCACAACTTCCGAGGGCAACTTCTGTTCCAAGGAAGGAAGGAAGGAAGAAAGCAAGGGAAAGAAAGAAAGAAAGAAAGAAAGAAAGAAAGAAAGAAAGAAAGAGGAAGGGAAGGGAAGGGAAGGGAAGGGAAGGGAAGGAAAGGAAAGGAAAGGAAAGGAAAGGAAAGGAAAGGAAAGGAAAGGAAAGGAAAGGAAAGGGGAAGGAAAGGGGAAGGAAAGGAAAGGAAAGGTCACCCCACTGGGTGAGGAAAGAGCCGCAAGCTCTGGGAAGCCTCACTCGGTATCTGACAGCAGAGACAGGAGGGCGTTGGGTGTGTGTGTGTGAAACCCACCCAACTTTGTGAAAGTGTTTAAAAATAACCTGGAAAGGCCGGAAGGGGGAAAGAATTTCAGGAATCCCATGGAAAGACAATCCAAAATGCCTAAAAGGGGGACCGGAGCTCCTTCCTTCCTTCCTGGCTCTGGACGGATGGTGGGAATCCTGGACTGGCCCCTTGCAAAGAATCCAATCCCCCCACCCCCCAAGAGCCCCGGACGGGCGGCCTGTGAGTGACAGGCAGGAGGGACGCACAGCGGGAAGGGTCCTACAGGTCACTCCGGAGTCACAACAGCTCGTTTAGGGACCGTTTGAAGTTACGACGACACTGGGAAAAAAGTGATTTCAGATTATTGGTCACGCTTACGACCGCTGCACCGTGGGTCACCTGATCAAAATTCGGCCACTCGGCCACCGACTCACATTTATGACGCTCATAGTATCCCCAGGATCCCGCCCCCCCTTCCGACGCGCAAAGCCAACAGGGGAGCCCGATTTGCTTAACAACTGGGTTACTTGCTGAACAACCGCAGGGATTCTCGCTTAACGAACGTGGCAAGAACCGTCATAAAATATGTGCGCCAAAACTCCCTGACCCCATGGTCTCTCTCCCCTTAGCAACGTCCATTTGCGGGCCTCAAATAGTGGGTCGTATGTCAAGGATTATTGATATTTGGAGCAAACCAGGATGGTCTTATTTTTCCTGGATTTGGGTGGGCAGCCAATTTTGGTTTTTCTCATTTATTTTGGTTTTAAAAAAACGAGCCCCTCCTCGTTTGAAAGGGTTTGGGCTACAATTCTCTGCAAGCTGGCATTCCCTGTTCAGTCCTGGGGTTCTGACCCAGACTTCATAAACAGTAAGGATGCGCAAACTTTCCTTAAAAGCAACACCTATTTTACTGCAAGGCTGGGAATTGTTTTCATTCCCAGCCGGAATTAATCTCAAGCCGTCCCCGAGATAAGCATCCACCTTTCAGTTCTGTGAAGTGCTGCCAAGAACAGAAGTTTTAACTAGATTAACTTCCAATTAACCAGAACAGAAACCAATAGGGGCACAAGAAAAAGCAAGGAGCTTCAACGACGACTCTGGACCTATCACGCTAGTTTGCTTCCTGCAAAGGGTTCATCATCTTGGCCTGACTTTTATCCCTTAGGGGAGGGCCAATCCCCTCCTAGCCTTACTCCTGATTTCGCCCCTTTTGTCTCAGCTGCTCTCGCCTTCTAGCGGTTCTGCGCATACGCACACTGGGAACAGGCTCCCCTGGTTCCTCTGCCTCGCTGGGGCCAGACTCCGAAGCGCCCGACTCCCAGATGGTCCTGACCCCATCTCTGCATCGAACGCAGGACCCTCATCCGACTCTGCTCCAGACTCCCTGACTGGTCCTCGTTCTTAGCCCACCGTCCGATTCCGCTGCCATCTGCACCAGTTGCCAGCGAACCGCAAGACCCCGCGGGGTCCCTGGAAAGCGAGCCCCCTCCCCTTCTTGAAGCAGCCCTTTCTGAAGCTCTCAACTTACGTGTAGGAGCAGCACCGCAGCCAGGAAAGACTGACCCTGGCAGTAGCCAATCTCTTCATCGTAGACAGAATAGGCCTGCGGAAGGAATTGGCGAGAACATCCATCAGGCAACGCTGGGAGTGGCCCGCCAGCCGTGTCTCCTAGGCCACGCTCGGCGACTGATATTGACAGAGTTGGAAGGGACCTTGTCGGTCATCTAGTCCAACCCCCACCCTGCCTAAGCAGGAGACCCTACACATTTCTGACAGATGGCAGTCCAGTCTCTTCTTGAAAGCCTCCAGGGATGAAGCTCCCACAACTTCTGAAGGCAGCTTCTGTTTCACTGGTTGATTGTTCTCACTGTCAGAAAGTTTCTTCTTATTTCCAGGTTTAAATCTCTCCTTGTTCAGTTTCCATCCATTATTCCTTGTTTGGCCTTCAGGTACCTTAGAAAATATCTTGACCCCTTCCTCCTCCTCTCTGGGGCAGCCCCACAAATATTGGAAAATGCTCTCCTGTCTCCCCTGGTCCTTCTCTTCCCTAGACTAGCCAGGCCTGGTTCCTGCATCCATTTATCGTCTGTTTGAGCCTCCAGGTTATCCTGGTGGGTCTTCTCTGCACTTTTTCTAGAGTCTCAACCTCTTTTTTATAGTGCAGTGACTAAAACTGGATGCAGAGCTCTAGGTGTGGTCTTACTAAGGCTTTATAGAGTGATAGTAGTACCTCCCTGGATCTTGATTGCATCCCTCTGTTAATACAATTTAGGATTGCACTGGCTTTTTGGGCTGCCTCCAGACACTGCTGGCTCATATTTAACAGGTTGTCCATTAAGACTCCAGCCAGTGACTGGACTTGGTGGTCGAAGAAGAGAAAGGGGTTCTCAGGAGCCAAGCTCCGTTAAGTCGGAATTTTAGCCTTTGCCAGGGAAAGAGGCTGGGCGGGCGGGATTCAAAATTTTTTTACTATAAGTTAAGTAATTTATTCTATAACAAATCATATCATCATACCAATTCTATCCTAAAAAAAAAACACTTTATAAATGTAGTGTCAAGTAACAAAAAAAAAGGAAGAAAAATCGATAATATTCCTTATTACCTAACATTCTAAATATTCTATTGTTGTATTTCATCGTCCAACCATTGATAGAAAAGGTCCCAAATTGTATAAAATTGTTTATCTTCTTGCTCTCTAATTTCAAATGTCAATCTACTCATCTCAGCACATTCCAATATTTTCTTCATCATTTCTTCCTGCAATGGATTTTTTTCATTTTTCCAATTTTTTTGCAAATACAATCCTAGCCGCAGTTAATACATTTACAATCAAATAGTTCGTGAATGAAATATGAATAAAAGTATAGCCAAATGATTTTTTATTTTAATAATGATATGAGGATATATAAGTTTGGATTGATAATAAGAGTTGTTATGTAACATAATTGTAATTGAGACTACGAAATGAATGCACAAAACTGATGAACCAACCGACACACTGTTTGTATATAAGTACGGAAGAGAGATTATGCTTTTATGTTCTGTCTGTTTTGTCTGTTTGTTAAAAAACCAATAAAATTGTTTTCAAAAAAATATTTTTTTTTTACTACCGGTTCTGTGGGCGTGGCTTGGTGAGCGTGGTAGGAGAAAGTTACTGCAAAGCCCCCCTTCCCTCCCCACCCCACTAACCTGCTTTCCAGCTCCGTTCTCCTGGGCAGGGCAACCCAAGGAAACCCAGCCGATCAACTGGGACTCGATGGGAGGCAGAGAAGAGAGATGGGGTTGGCGGGGCCAGTCAGAGACGGGTGGGATTGGCCGCTTCTCGGAACGACTCAAAATTTCCGCGACCGGTTCTCCAGAACCGGTCAGAACTGGCTGAAGACCCACCTCTGTCTTTTGGGGAACCGAAGCTCTCCCATTTTCTTCAAAGGCCGAGCGGAAACCTTGGATTGGCGTGTTCTGGGCACGGCTCATCTCTGCTAATGGCCCTTTTTGGGTGCTTTGGAGGGGGCCAGGAAGATGCCCACTTCCCCCCCGGGGGAGGCAGCTTTGGAAAGGCCAAATTCAAAGCGCCGGCCAGACGAATGGAAGCGATCAAAAGAGACGCCAGCCGGGCTTCCAACCTGCTAATTACCTCCGGCGGCGTTTGGTCTATTGGCTTCCGCCTTATGATGGCATGGGTTTTAATGTGGGGGGGGGGGGGGTTGGGGCAGGGCTGCTTGCTTTCCAGGGCTGCTTCCTTTCTGGATCCCCTCTGGCCCGAAGGAAGCGCCCAGCAATGGCTGAGGCCGATCCCAGATGGGTACTGCAGTCCCTGGGATAGGCGTCCCGGACTGAGACGCCAGGCGCACTTCCACGCGTCTCTGCCAACTCCCGTTCCCATTGGGCTGTCCCAGAATCGCGGCCCAAGGAGAGACGAAGCGCCCCGTTCCTCGCCCCCCGAGGATGGCAACGCTTGTGGGTACCTTGCAGATTTTGTACAGCGAGTCCTGACCGTCTCCTCCGGTGTCCTTGAAGTAGTCGTGGGCAGGGAAGGTCCGGTTGATGTCTCGGGTGATGGCGCTGTCCTGGGGAGACTCCTGCAAAGCCCAGAGGAAGGAGGAGGAACAGAATTAACGGGGCTGGAAGGGGCCTTGGAGGTCCTCTAGTCCAGCCCCCTGCTTGGGCAGGAAGCCCTACATCAGTGGTGGCTATCCTTTTTCGGCTCCTGTGCCGATAATTGCGCGCCACCCAGAAGACCATGCCTGCTGGCCACCACACGCCCCCTGCACATGCGCGTTCAACCTCCCCCCCTCGTGCACCACACATCTGAGCATACGTGCGCGTCTCCCATGCACCCTCCCTCCGCCCCCTGCGCCTGCGCGCCAGGTACCCAACAGTCAGCTGTCGGGTGGCGGCAACCGTGTATGTGCAGCGGAGCTCATCCGGGCAATCTCTAGGTTTGCCAACACGGCCCTCTCCCATCTCCAGTCTCTTCTTAAAAACCTCCAGTGATGGAGCACAACACAACTTCAGGTGGCCAGCTGTTCCACTGGTTAATATAATAATAATCAGAATAGAGTTGGAAGGGACCCTGGAGGTCTTCTAGTCCAACCCCTTGCTCAGACAGGAAACCCTCTATCATTTCAGACAAATGGTTATCCAACATCTTCTTAAAAACTTCCAGTGTTGGAGCATTCACAACTTCTGGAGGCAAGTAGTTCCACTGGTTAATTGTTTTAACTGTCAGGAAATTTCTCCTTAGTTCTAAGTTGCTTCTCTCCTCGATTAATTTTCATCCATTGCTTCTTGTCCTGCCTGGAGACACACACACGCACACGCACACACACACACACACACACACACACACGTTCTTTGTGGCAGCCCCTCAAATACTGGAAGACTGTTATCATGTCACCCCTACTCTGTCTTTTCACTAGACTAGACAAACCCAAATCCTGCAACCCTTCTTCCTAGGTTTTAGCCTCCAGTCCCTTAATTCTCTTTGTTGCTCTTCTCTGCACTCTTTCTAGAGTCTCAACATCTTTTTTTTATATCATGGCAACCAAAATGGGATGCAATATTCTGGGTGGTGGTCTTACTAAGGCATTATAAAATTGTATACTTAATCAGAATAGAGCTGGAAGGGACCTTGGAGGTCTTCTAGACCAGCCCTCTGCTTAAGCAGGAGAACCTATACACCATCTCAGACCAATAAATGGCTGTCCGGTCTCTTCTTAAAAACCTCCAGGGATGAAGCCGCCTACAACTTCTGGTGGCAAGCAGTCCCACTGGTTCATCGTCCTAACTGTGAGGAAGTTTCTCCTTAATTCCAGGTGGCTTCTTCTCTCCTTGGTTAGTTTCCATCCATCGTTTTTTTTCTCCCCCCCTCTGGAAAATAACCTGACCCCCCTCTTCATGCAATCTTGATTCTATCCCTTCGATTAAGGCAGAAAGGGAGACGGTCAATTTGGGGCCTCGGCAGCTGCCCGAGGCCTAAAGATCTGCTTCCAACAAGGAGCACCAGATCTTTCCCCCCCATGTTGAAGGTCGTGAGAAAGCACCGACTGTCAGGAGAAGCAGAGCTGAAGGCAGGGAGAAAAAAATAAAATCACCTGGGCTTCCTTCCTGCCTGGGGGAGAAGTTAATTCTTTGGAGGTTTTTACCCTGCAATATGGCTTAGCCAGAGGTTTTTCAAGCACTGATGAGCAATGCCAGGGAAGCGGGCAGGCCGATTTCCTCCAACTTCAAAAAGGCCAGTGAGGAAGGAAGGAGCTGCTTAAACATCCACGCTGAGATCAATCGACCCGTGGAACAGAAGTTGCCTTCGGAAGTTGTGGGAGTTTCATCCCTGGAGGCTTTTAAGAAGAAACCCGACTGCCATCTTGTCCGTCAGAAATGGTGGAGGGGCTCCTGCTTGGGCCTGGGGTTGGACTAGATGACCTACAAGGTCCCTTCCAACTCTGTAAATGAATTAAGCACGAGTGGAAGGAATCAAGGTGTTCTCGGACCTTCTCTCACCCGCCATTGGCGGCCATGTTTGAAGACTGCCATCTTGGGCCCGGCTGGCTTCGAAAGTCCCCAACCCATCCCAAGTCGTACCCGCATCGGAGTCTTAAGTGAGCAGGAAGGAACGGAGTGAAATTCCAGGCCAGGAGAGAAACCCGGAAGGATGGATTCACACTTACAGATCCAACTTCCTTAATCTTCCTTAGTCTCGAACGGCTTAGGACGGATTCAATCAATCAGAATAGAGCTGGAAGGCACCTTGGAGATCTTCTAGTCCAACCCTACCCCCGCCCAAGCAAGAGACTCTACACCAGTTCAGACAAGGGACTGTTCAGTCTCTTCTTTAAAAAAATTCCAATGATGAAGCCGTCACAACTTCTGGTGGCAAGTAGTTCCCCTGGTTCATTGTCCTCCCTGTTTGGAAGTTTCTCCTCAATTCCAGGTGGCTTCTCTCCTTGGTTAGTTTCCACCCATTGTTTCTTCTCCTGCCCTCTGGTGCATCGGAGAATAAGTGGGACCCCCTTCCCTTTGTGGCAGCCCCTCAACTACTAGAATGCTGCTATCATGTCCCCCCTACTTTTCTCTACAAATCCTGCAACTGTTCTTCGTCTGCTTTAGTTTCCAGGCCTTTAATCATCTTAGTTGCTCTTCTTTGCACTTTTAACAGATTAGCAAAGTTGGAAGGGACCTTGTAAGCCATCTAGTCCAACCCTTCACCCACGCAGAAGACCCTACGCCATTTCTGACTGAGGGCAGCCCAGTCTCTTCTTGGAAGCCTCCAGGGATGAAGCTCCCACAACCTCTGAAGGCAACTTCTGTTCCATCAGTTGATGGTTCTCCCTGTCAGAAAATTCCTCCTCATTTCCAGATTGAATCTCTCCTAGATCGGTTTCCATCCATTATTCCTTGCCTGGCCTTCGGGGGCTTTGGAAAACAGCTTGACCCCCTTCCTCCTCCTCTCTGTGGCAGCCCCACAAATATTGGAAGATGCTATCCTGTCTCCCCTGGTCCTTCTCTTCCCTAGACTAGCCAGGCCCAGTTCCTGCAACCGTTCATCGTGTGTTTTAGCCTCCAATCCCCTCATCATCCTGGTTGCTCTTCTCTGCACTCTTTCTAGACCCTCAACCTCTTTTTTTCTAGTGTGGTGACCAAAACTGGATGCAGGACTCTAGGGTGTGGTCTTACTAAGGGTTTATAGAGTGGTGGTAGTAGTAGTTTTTCCAAAGTCTCAATATCTTTGTTGAGACATCTGCTTCTCAGATCTTGGTGGAGGGTTTGGGGGGGGGTAGATTGACCCCCCACCTCCAAAAGTGGAGACAGACCGGTTCCACTCTGGATGGAGGCCAGAACACAGGGGCCAATGAGGCACCATCGGATGATTCAACCTTGCCAAACCTCACGGGGAATTGTTCTTCTTTTTTTTGCAAGGTCAACCTCTGGACTAGGACCGGTGGGGTGGCAGCTTCCACTGGCCTGGAGAGAAATACCACCTGTGTGGGTCAAGAACACCAAACTCCCATCCAACGTGAGGCCAACCTTCTGAGCGACAGGGGACCGGGACGGAAAGGTTGAGTTGAAACGCTGCCTCTTAACGGAATGGGGGCACCGCATGACCATTTTTGATGGTTAGCGGCGGTCTTAGGAATGGGCATCGATGCTACACCCACACAGAAATGTTCTTGCTACTGGAACATGTTGGTTTAGTGAGCAAGAGAAAGGGACCGGAAAGGAAAAAGTTTTTATTTTATTTTTTGAAGCCGGCTGGGATACAATAATACAAACAAGGCCAGCTCGGCCATTGTGTGACTAGGAATCCTATTTTTATAGCTGGCTGGGAGAAAGGTCCCTGCCGGGCCAGCTCAGGTTTCCGGGGCTGAAGAAAGGAAGGGAAGGGAAGGGAAGAAAGGGGAAGGACAGGACAGGAAAAAAAGAAAGGAGGGGAGAGGAGTAAAGGAGAGGGGACGGGAAAGGGGAAAGGGAAATGAAATGGAAAAAGAGAAGGGAAAAGAAAGGAAAGGAAAGGAAAGGAAAGGAAAGGAAAGGAAAGGAAAGGAAAGGAAGGGAAGGGAAAGGAAAGGAAAGG